GTCAGTGGCCATAGCATTTTGGGGATATAGGGTCACTGGGCATGGGATCAGGGGCTTGTGGGTTGGGTGGCTGTGGGGTCAGGGGGGGTACAGGGTGGGTGGGCACGGAGCTGGATGGTTGTAGGGTGGGTGGGCATGGGGTTGAGGGGTTGTAGGGTGGTCGGCTTCGGGTTTGGCTGGCTGTGGAATGGGTGAACATGGGGTTGGGGGATGACAGTGGGGTCGGAGGAATATGGGGTGGATGGCCATGGGGTAGGACTACGACACAGTCACCCATGGAGCTGCAGGCTTCCCCCTGCCTAGAAGACCCCCCCATCCCGACCCCATAACCCCGCAGTGACGGACCTGGAGCTGCGCTTCCAGTACCGCGGGCGGCGGGTGAGCGCCCTGACCGTCAGCCACCCCCTGGGCTGCCGCCTGTCCCACGGGGGGTCCCTGCCCCCCACCCCGCAACGCCCCGACCTGCTGGGACACCCCGAGCTCCAGCAGGTCCCCTTCCCCGACCCCGAGGGGATCCCGCACGACAAGCAGCGCCGCTACACCCGCACTCTGTTGGGGGCCATGGAGCGGGGGCTCCTCCTGGAGCTGGGGGGACAGGACCTCTATGCCACCCGCCTCTGTCGCTGCAAAGTGTTTTGGGATGGGCCCTGCGCCCCACCTCAGGACCCCCACCTCGACCCCCAGCCCAACCCCATGGAGAGGGAGAGGAGGGTCCAAGTGTTCAGCCTCCAGCGGTTCCTTGACGGTAAGTGGCACCGGGGCTGGAGGTGAGGGGGTGTGTGGAGACGTTGGGTGGCACTGGGGACATCGAGGAGTCCGTGGGGACATCAGGTGGCACTGGAGGACACAAAGGAGTCCGTGGGATCATCGGGTGGCACCTGCAGACACCGTGAATAGACATCAGGTGGCCTTGGGGGACATCAGGTAGAACTGGGGACACCAAGGATTCCACGGGGATGTCAGGTGGCATTAGGGGACACCATGAAGGGACATCAGGTGGCACTGGAGGACATCAAGTGGCCTTGGGGACACCTGGAAGTCCAAGGGAATGTCGTCAAGTGGCACTGGGGAACATCAGGTGGCTTTAGGGGACATCAGGTAGAACTGGGGACACCAAGGATTCCATGGGGACATCAGGTGGCATTGGGGGACACCATGAAGGGACATCAGGTGGCACTGGAGGACATCATGAATCAGTGGGGATATCAGGTGGCACTGGAGGACATCAAGTGGCCTTGGGGACACCTGGGAGTCCAAGGGGATGTCGTCAAGTGGCACTGGGGAACATCAGGTGGCCTTGGGGGACATCAGGTGGCAGTGGGGACACTGAGGACTCCATGGGGACATCAGATGGCGTTGGGGACACCAGGAAGTTGGTAGGAATATCAGGTGGCACTGGGAGAAGCTATGAAGCCTATAGGGACACCAGGTGGCACTTGGTGACACCAGAGAGTCCATAGGGACATCAGGAGGCACTGGGGGACATCAGGTGGCACTGGGGACAGTACTGAGTCCATGAGGGCATCAGGTGGCATCAGAAACATCAAGAATTCAATAAGGACATCAGGTGGCACTGGGGGACATCATGAAAGGATATCAGGTGGCACTGGGGACATCAAGGAGTCCATGGGGATATCAGGTGGCATGGAGACATTGGGGAGTCCATGGGGACATCATCAGGTGGTAGTGAGGACACCAGGGTGTCCACGGGGACATCAAATGGCATTGGGGGACTCCGTAAAGGGACATCAGGTGGTAGTGGGAGGATATCAGGAAGTCAGTAGGGACAACAGGTGGCATTAGGGGACATCAGGATATGGAGATGTCAGGTGGCTTTGGGGGACAACAGAGAGTCCATGGGAACATCAACTGGCAGTGAGGACACCAGAGAGTCCATGGGGACATCTGTTGGGAAGGAATGACATCAAATGGCATTGGGGGACACTGGACAGCCAGTAGGGACATCAGGTGGAACTGGGGGGGGACACTGGAGAGCCCGTTGGAACCTCAGGTGGCAATGGGGACATCAGTCAGCACAGAGGGACGCCCGTCAGCCCACAGGGTCATGAGGTGGCATGGGAGGATTGTGGCTGGTGGAGACACTGGTCAGCACTGGGTTGGGGGGAGGTGACATTAAGTGACACCTCGGTGCCCCCCAGGGCTGATCCTGTTCCAGAAGGGGCAGAGCCCAACACCGCCGCCCTTCGAGGTCTTCCTGTGCTTTGGGGAGGAGTGGCCCGACCACAGACCCAAGGAGAAGAAGCTCATCACTGTGCAGGTTGGGGGACACAACGGTGGGGACTGGTTGGGACTCATGTTGGGGACACAATGGAGACGTGAAGGGGACATGATGTGTTGGGGACATGGAGGTGACACGTCAGGGATGAGTTGGGGACCCAATGGGGACGTGTTGGGAACTCACAGCGAGGACACGTGGGGGACACGGTGGCGACACATGGGATTATTTGGGTCGGGGGCACAATAAGGATGAGTTGGGGGCATGGTGGCGACATGTCAAGGATGGGCTGGGGATGTGTTGGGGACACACTGGGGACA